GACTGGGAGAAAGAAGTATAAAGATTAAATACAGAATAAATTCCCTTTGTTGTTGTTGTTGTTGATGATGATGATCGTTTGTATCTTCGCATTGTTGTTTAAGACTGTAACTGATCAATCTATTGTTGATATATGTATATCCTGTGCGGATTAACTCAATATTGCTTTAAGTCACAAAACATAGAATAGTCATAAACTGATTGGTAATTTAATTTGTTTATAATAAATAAAAATTGTTGATTGAATTAGTCAACTTATTTGTTTGTTTGTTTGTTTTTGTATATCAACATTGAACTAGATTTTCTTAAGACTTTTTTTAAGATACAATGAACATGATATTGAGTGAAATGTATAGAAAAGTTGAAAAAAAAATATTTCTCAATGTTTTATGTGAGGATGGTCAATGGATGAACTCGAGGATGTTCTAAGAAGCTCAGAAAGAGTCAAAGATATTCCATCCAATCATCTTTTGGAAGAATATTCTAGAATATTGATGTGTAGCCTCCCTATTGGACAAATGCTAAAACCCTTCTGTATACGGATTACTTTACTTACGCCTGTGACTCCTCGTGAAAAAGCGTAGATCGCTCACCAGCATTTTGTGTGACTATAAATATTGATTAACGCTTGACTAAATGGAGTTGGCTAACACTCCTTCTCCACTGCGTGTAATTTTGCTTTGCTCTCTGAGCTTCGTTTCCTCGATTGTATGAAATACACATATTCGAAATTCATTCTCGTTATTTGACTTATTTAATTCTGTTATTGACTAATACGATTTATGTCGATGATTATATACGAGGATTGACGACATATGTACTTCAATAACAATCATTCATACAATCTCACTGGAGTCAGATCTCGGGTCACTAATGTTTACATTATTATTTTGGACAAATGTTTCAGAACAATGGAAATAAACAAAATTTTCGAAATATTGTCATTTGATTCTACTATTAGACGATTATTCACATAAAAGGAGAGCTGAAAGCATATATATATATATATATATATATATATATATATATATATATAGTTTTTTTTGGTGAAAATTATAGTCATCCAATCCACCATCAAGAAGGTACAAGTATTTATAAATGGTTGTCTACGCAAGATACCCAACATCCATTGGCCGGATACCATCAGCAACAGTCTACTGTGGAAGAGAAAAAACCAGCTTCCAGCTGAAGATGAAATTAGGAAAAGACGATTGTTAGGATAGTTGGAAAAATATACCAATAATTATTGTGTTAAGTCTATGGTGGTCTTGGACCTTAAATGTACACTCCCTATTGGTCGATATTTGTTTCACTTGTTAAATATTGTGTAAATGTTGTTTTCTATTTTATGGTACGATGTGGTTTGTTTGTTTGGTATATAAATAGAGTATGTCTGAAATGTAACGATTCATAACTCAGAGGCTGTGACTTGTGTTCTGGACTCAACTGGCTGGGCTAGACAGGGAAGCAGGGCCAATCAGGGTACTAGGTCGTCCGTACGTGTTTTACGTGTCACTGTAATCGATCGATATAAACGCTGCTTATCAAAACCTGCAGTCACCCGTTACAACAACGATGGAAACGGATAGGACATACATTACGCAAATCATCAAACTGCATCACGAGACAAGACCTAACTTGGAAACGTGAAGGGAAGCGGAAAAGAGGAAAGCCAAAGAACACATTACGTTGGGAAATAGAAGCAGATATATTGAATAACCCTGCATTCCTTATAGTTCACTTGACTAATTTTAAAATATTAGCTTCATAGGGCATTTTTGGGCAGATACTATATATTGACAGTTGAAATGGAATGAAAAAAAAAATTGTTTATCCATTAATGTACTTAATTTTTATCTGATTACCTTTTTTTAAAAATAACATATAAGTTCATATTATGTAATATTGAAATGAATTCTTCGATTTGACAAATGTGAAATTGAAAAACTTATAAAAAGAATGAAATATCGGAGTGAACATCAACTCTTTTATGCAGATATATCCAGCTGATGAATCTCAAATAGGACGAAACCCATGTCCCGGATTCCACTGTTAGCCATCATCCATCTTTGCTTAAAAAGCTTGTGACTTAAGACAATATCGAGGCAGTCCGCATAGGATGCACATATATCAACAAGAAACTGATCAATTTTAGTGCTAAACATTAATGGGAAGATACAAGCAAATAATACCAAGTGAATTTGAATATTAGTGTTGTTTCTCTAAAATTATATTAATTGAAACGAAGTAAATTGTTCATTAAAAGATTGTCAGTAATTTTACTATGATTTAAGTTGATAATATTAATATCAATAACGAAAAAAACAACAGTATACTTCCTATGAATGAATACTGAAAATTAAGATATGGAGGAAGATGGGGACTACATCCATTTGCTATCTATTCTGAACCAACCTATCCGTTATACAATATTCAACGACAGTTGATGAGGCTTCCAAGATACGTGAAGTAGCCGAAGCACTCAGCTATTTCACTGCTGTTATCAATCTAAGTTTTGCTACACACTAGCAAGAATTTGTAAATAGTGGGAGTGAAACGTCTGCCAAACCTGCTTGAATTATTTCTCATGTGACTCTGGACCATATCAGCATCTTCAATGTACAAAACTGTGTCATCTGCTTATTCCAAGTCTATTAGTAAGTTTCAAAAAAGTGACCAAACCCTAAAACGTTAGATGAAAAATCATTTTTGTGGAGGACATCTGCGGTGAAACCAAACGAAGAGGAGAATAGTGAGTAACCCTAACGAACACAACTTGCAGTTGACAAATCAATTTCAAATGGCTAAACGTTATCCCTTTAACATCTTATTCGTTATAGTTAACTCCTGTTTCAACGTTTGATAGTTGTTATCGAATTTATAAAACATAATCTAAAACACATCGAACAACTAGGCAAATTACTGAATTTAGTTAACAACAGAACAGTTCATTTTATCAAATGTTTAATGGAAATTTATTTAATGGTTCAATTCACTAGTCAATTGAAGCAAGATCACCATGAAAAACCTGGAAGAACTTGTCGGCCGTTTTGTCCCAGTATGGGACTCCTCACCAGGGCTCGTCCACGATCCCGCTCGCGGGATTTGACCTCAGGACCTATCGGTCTCCTGTGCAAACGCTTAACCTCTAGACCACTGAGCCAGCATCCAACGGTGTTAACGTCTAACTTTATTTGACGAAAATGAACCATTAAAAACACGAAGTTTAGCGAAGGAATCCGTTCTCAACGAATTTATGGTCAAGTTCTACAATCGCATGTATATATGAAAAAATTCTTTATATTAAAATACTAATTTGTTACCAGCTTATTAAGTCTATTTATATTAATCATACTGAGTAATCTAGTATTATAAACTTTCAATTGCATCATCATGATTTTTCCTTGTTCATATGTCCTCACAGAACGAATTCATTGAAAAGAGATCTATCTTCATTGAACTTTGTGTTTTTAGTGTTTAAATGGGAATTATATGTCAATCTTAAACAAATATAGGTGCGATGTTAGCTTCAATATTCTGTGAATGTTTTGCATATTCTATGATGAACTATGGTACTTACGATTATAAACCTAAATATATACAAAAAGTCATAGTGATAGTCAATATTTCCCATTAACATGGAGATTACATAATATAATGATGGACTATTCTATCATACATAAATCAGTTTATATTTAAATTTAATTTTTTTTGGAGGGGGAACACCTTTATAGTGAACAAGGGCATAAGTAAGGTCAACTGAATGTATTTCAACATAAAATTACAGAACATTTTAGTAAAATCTGAGAATTACACAGTTATTGCTTTATTGTTCTTTGGTTTCCACATCAATCATTCTTTGTTCTCATTCTCTTTTCTATGATCTTCTTAAACTTCTACCGCCAGGTATTTCACGTTCGACTGGTAATACATACACTACTTATATCTGTTAACATCAGTAGCACATACCACACTTTGTCTCTTACTAAGATAACATCTTATCCTTTACGAATTTGCATGATGTTTACCTCGAAGTTTTCAATTAAAATATTATTCATTGAATCATTTTTTGGTTATTTTACTTTTAAAACTTGCATATCTACAGCACATTTTATTGATTTCTAATTAAACTGTAATTATTATATTCATTTGGTGTTGTTTGACTTGTATCTTCTCATTGAGGTTTAAGACTGCAATTGATCAGTCTGTTATTGGCATATGTGCATACTGTGCGTATGCTCCGATATTGCCTTAATTCACAAGCTTTTTGTAAGCAGCGTTGGATAGTGGCAAGTGGCTATCAGGACTTAGTAGCTGAGTGGATAACGCGATGGCGTTTCAAGCGAATGGTATTGGGTTCGAGTCCCAGAGTGAACGTCAACTCTGAGATGCAAGTACATCCAAATGACGAGTCCCAAATAGGACGAAACGAGCGTTCTGGATTCCACTGCTAGCCACTATCCATCATTGTAATTATTATAGTTTCGTTTTTTTCTTGTTAAGTTATTCATGAATTCATTTTTAGTCGTGTTGTATTCTCTGATTTAAATAATTAAATAACTAAGCTCTCATTGTCATTTTGAACAATATCATCAGTGTTTTTTTTCTAAATTTATATATAAAATTGAACATTTTAGCTATTCTGCAAATTTTAAATCGATTTTTCCTGATAGCCTTGATTGTCACTGGCTATATGATATGACGGGAAACAAAGTCAAATATTGATTAATTTACTCATTACGAGTTTTTGTTCAAGATGACTTCCGTTCTGATTCAATGTAATGATTACTCAATGTAGTATTTGTTTTCTTTTATGATATACGATAGTCTTGTATTCCATTGACATCAATTATGCTCAATATGTGATTTGTTATATATGTGATTTCATTTTAATTATGAATCAAAATGGGTGCACAATCAATATATAAATGATTGTGTTTTTCGACTAAAGTCGTCGTCGTGGTGGTGGTCGTATTTTCAGGTTAATAAATGTTCACTTATACCAGTCTTTATGTTCTTACTTTCGTGTCGTGGAAATAATGATAATTTATTAATGATGAATAATTTAACTGAATTACATCACAACAAACTGATTACATCATTCACCAATTCTAATTCAAATAATACTAATTCTATTTACATCTTTATACAAGATTTATCACATTTGAATCTATTATGTAATCAACAATTTCATCATTATAAGAATTCATTATATAAAGTACCATTGAATTGTATATGGAATAATCCAAGAAGTAAATTATCATCATGGGCATCATCATCATCATCAGCAGCAGCATCATCATCATTATCATCCATTAGATTACGATCTAAAATTAAAAAATTCTTATTATTTAATGAAAATTTAATGAAATTTATTATCAATTATGCACAGTTTAATCATGTGAATATTGTCAAGTTTTATGGTTTAAGTATAATAGATAGATCAATGAAATATTCTTCATATTCAATAATTACAGAGTACTGTATCAATGGATCATTGGATATGTATTTGAAAAATGTAAGTTATTATTATTATTAGTAGTATTATTATTCGATGTCGCGTCAGTGGTCTTATTGGTTAATCGCTTGGCGCGAGACTGATAGGTCCTAGGTTTAAATCTCGCGAAGGGATGCGCACTGCTGAGGAGTCCCATGCTAGGACGAAACTGCTGTCCAGTGCTTCCAGGTTTTCCATGGTGTTCTAGCTTCAATTGATTCGTGATTTCAACCAGTGAAATTTCTAAAATCTCCACAAAACTCATTCGGATTATTATTATTATTATTATTAGTTGTAATATGCATTTTGTGTTTGATGAATGACCTACATTAAAGTCATGATTAATGATGTAATCACTATGAGGAAATCAATATTTAGGAAAGGTAAACACTAAGATTTATATAATGCTGCTAGATTTGAAGCAGTTACGAGTTCACTTAGTCTGCGAACGAAACAATGACTTGTGATCAAAGATCAATAAACTAGCTATTCTATTGCGTCCCAGCCCCGCTAACTAGAAACAGAAGTCGAAATTTGAACGGGGAAGTATATTCCGTGAAAACCCATAAGCACGAGCGATAACAACAGACACAAGTCAAAACGTATATATACAATACAAAACCGTCCTTCAGAAGGGTTACAAAATAGCATACTAAAAGACATAACGGGCCAATAGCGTTTATGATTCTCCCAAGTGAGAAACACGAAATGAAGGTGAAAAAAGCGCTTTTATTGCGAAAACAAAGAAATTCAAATTTTCTAAATAAAATTACAAAATTAGGAACTTTTCGAAGTGAGATCTGGAGATCTAACGTCCCCAACAATCTATTACCAGTCAAGAGTGAAATACCTGGCGGTAGAAAGTTAAGAAGATCATAGAAAAGAGAATGAGAACAAAGAATGATTGATATAGAGACCAAAGAACAATGAAGTTTAAGACGATTGACTGATATTTACAAAAGGAACGGTCAAGTTTGATACAGTTGATTGATATTATGCGAATGAAGTATTTACTGTATTTTTCTCAGATTTTTGTGTAATATTGTGTTCAAATACATTCGATTGTCCTCATTTGTATCTTCGTTCACTACAATACTTTGTTTTGATATTGTCTGAAGCTAAGATAGTTCACCTATTAAACACAATAATTTTTATCAGAAGGGGTTTTGTGGAGGTTTTAATAATTTCAATAGTTGAAATCATAATTCAATTGGACCAGTGACCAGTGGAGTTCAACCAGGTCTGTTGTGAGATATCAACTCACTGAAGACAATGGTGTACGGTGGCGCAATTTCGTGGATTGGTTGAAGTTAGACATTAACACTATTGGACCTAATGGTCAAGCGCTCGTGTGCTTGGGTTCGAATCTCTCGGGGGCGGGATCGTGGATGCGCACTGCTGAGGAGTCCCATACTAGAATGAAACGGTCATCCAATGCTTTCAGGTTTTCCATGGTGATCTAGCTTCAATTGACAATTATTTTTATTATTATGTTTTACATCTAATTTCTATAGAGTATATCTTGTATCTAAAGGTAACTATTCCTAAAAAGGAGACCTAAACGAAAACATTTCAAATGACAAATCATACTAGATCATATTATGATCAATTAAGAAGAGCAAATAAAAAGCATTAAAAGCATAGGACGAAAAAAATCTGTCTAGTTAGAAAAATATTTGCACCCATTGACTTTACACATACAATTCATTAATAAGCATCATATGACAACTAGAACTATGGTAATGCACAAATGTCTTATCTAAACAATGTTTTATTTTTAGCACATCATTCAATGTATGTCAATTGTCAGTTATGTAATACTTTTAATTTTAAAAACAATTTCAATGGATATATGACAAAAGCTAATTCTAAAAGATTCTTATCATCTATACTAAATTACCGTATGTACTGTACCAACATACATCCGTACATATATACATAGTGAAAAAGTGACTGAATTTCGAAAAAGAAAACATCACTATGCATTTATATGCATGTAATATTTGTAATGAATTTCAATACATTCTTTTAGTCTACTATCAGTTTATTCTTTCTCATAAACAGTAATAGTTTTCTAGTAGTACTGTGGTGTGGGTTACTTATATCTACACAAGTAGTAATATAACGGTGATCAGGCATTTCAATAGGTCGATGAGGAAAGAACGGGAACGGTAAGCATTTGGTATGAAAATGCATGAAACAATGAAATCGGAGACAGTGGATTGATGTTTGCAACAGGAACAGTGAAGTTTGAGACGATGGATTGATATTTTGCAAATTAACTATTTACTATACGGTTCTCAGATTTTAGTGAGATGCTCTGTAATGTTGTGCTCAAATACATGCTATTGCTCCCACTGGTGTTCTTGTTCACTACAGTACTATATTCTACTAACTAGATGATTTGGTTGTAAAACTTTCATTGTCGTTCTAAACAATGTCATCAATCCATTACTTCGAGTAGAAATCATCTACATGATATTATTATTATTACACAATAAAGCACTCAGTCATTTCATTCAAATAATTTGTTTATTGATTTAGACAAAGATGGATTGTGGATAAAAGTGAAATCCAGGACATGTGCCTCGTCCGATTTGTAACTCGTCAGCTGGATGTACATGCATCCTGGAGTTGATGTTTACTCTGAGACTCGAACACATTGCCGTTCGCTTCAAACGCCATTGCATTATCCACTTAGCTACTGAGTCCTGATAGCCACCTGGTTGTGCAGTGGGGTGATTTTTAAATTCACTTGGTGTTGTTTGCTCGTATCTTCCCATTGTTATTTAAAACTGTAATTGATCAGTCTCTTGTTGGCATATGAATCAGCTTATATGTTAAGTGAAATCTTAAGATCCATGGTCAGAATAAATATGGGTCAGGTAGAGTGAGAGAAATAACAGTACAATTACAATTCGAGCAAATATTTAATCGAAGACTACATTGTGTAAGCAATTATTAGTAAGACACAATACGTTGGGATGAATGCGAAGTAAATGAATCATGATGTTGAACCAAAAATAATAATAATAGTAATAATAATAATAATAATAATACAGGGATTTATGAATAGAGATAACGCAGACGATTACATTTAACTGCGAAAGGTCATAAATACAATAGTTTAAGTAGGTCATTCAATAACTAAGATTACTATTGATTAATTAGCATTGAGGTTGATGAAGGGAGGGGAAGTAGTTGAACGTATTTCTTCCAGGTTTTAAATGATGGTCTAACACTGATCAGTTCATGATCTTAATTAATAGGACGAAACGGTCGTCCATTGCTTCCAGGTTTTCCATGGTGATCTAGCTTCAATTGATTCATGATATCAACCATAGAAATTACTACAATCTCTACAAAACCACTTCTGATACTAATCAACATATGCTCACTAGTGACTTGCTTCAAGAAGTATATCCTGCAGTTCTAGTGGGAAGCAGTGACCAGTGGATCTCAACCGGGTCATTTGTGAGGTAGTAACTCACTGATGACAATGGCGGATGTGTCGCTCAATTTCATGGATTAGCTGAAGTTAGACATTAACACTGTTGGATGCTGGCTCAGTGGTCTACTGGTTGGGCGCTCACGTGAGAGACTGATAAGTCCTGGGTTCGAATCTCCAGACGTGGGATCGTGGGTGAGCACTGTTGAGGAGTCCCATACTAGGACGAAAGGATCATCCAGTGCTTCCAGGTTTCTCATGGTGATCTAGCTTCAATTGACTCATGATTTCAACTATCGAAATTAAGAATTAAATATTAGAAAGATGACAATTTCATCAGTGTGTTATTTATCGTTAAAGTTTTAATTTATTTATTAAAAACTTTTATTTTAGTTAATTAATGTAAATGGTCATAAAAAAGTTTTTTTGTTTTGTTTATCAAATGTCATAAAATTCCAGTTATCTTAATTTTCCTGAAACGTTTATTTTTCATAATCATGAATTGATCATATATTATTAGTTATATCTTGTCCAATATTGTCTGATCACGATGTGTTATTATTACTATTTATATTATTATTATTATTATTATTACCATAATTAATAATAGTAGCAGTAATAGTAGTAGTGTGGTGTGAGCTACTAATATCTACATAAGTAGCATATAACGATAGTCAGGAATAGAATGTATTTCACCAGAAGATCGAGAAAGAAAGAATGGGACTAGAAAGCAATTGGTATGAAAATGCATGAAACAATGAAATCTGAGACGATAGAAATAGTCAAGTTTGAGACGATGGATTGATATTTTGCAAATTAAGTATTTACTGTATTCTCAGATTTTAATGAGGTGTTCTGTAATTTAGTTTTGAAATACATTCGGTTGTCCTTACTCGTGTCCTTGTTAACTACAGTTATAGTATTAGTAATGATGGTGTTTGAAGAGAATAGCAATGGGTTCGAGTCCTAGAGTGAGCAACAAATCTGGGATGTATGTTCATCCAGCTGACGAGACCTGGATAGGAAAAAAACGCTCGTCCTGGATTCCACTGTTAGCCATCATCCATTTCCGCTTATAATGCTTGTATCTTAAGACAATATCGAGGCAATCCGTAAAGGATACACATATGCCAACAAGAAACCGATCAATTTCAGTGCTAAACATCAATGGGAAGATATAAGTAAATAACATCAAGTGAATTCACAGTGTTAACATGTTTGGTTGTGACAATACATGGCACAAGTTTGAATATGACAAGATGTATCAATTTTATTCAAGGTTGAAGATTCAATGTGCTGATAAGTAGTGAGTTCAACCAACAATAGGCAACATTAAACAAATCCTAATAGAAAATATACAGAAAAAAACTCTTCAATGGATAGTGTATTACTAATGACAATATTTATTTTTAATACTCTGAATAATTACATGTTCAATTTAGAGAAGTATTTCACTTGATAATTAGTAGAAAACATAAACCTTGGAGATGATTTCCTAACCAATTGTTGATCACTAAATTTTGGCGGTAAGTTTATTCGAATTGAACGTGAATGACATGACTTTCTAAGTTATTCGAGGTCACAGCAGGTGATGAATACTTAGTTGAAATTACCCGATTGTGATACCCAGGTTATAACGTATATATAATCTTACCGAAGGGATCTATTTTACTAAATAGAGCAGATAAGTGAAGTGCATATAATATAAGCACTGTGGCGCAAGTCAATCAATAGCAGGAAACCGATCAATACATGTTGGACATCCATGACGTTAACGAGATTCGTTAAATCAACCAGTCAGTTAGTTAGCTAAAACGTAGAACCAGACACATATATGCATCAGCACAAGTTGCCATACCGCATTAGCACAACAGGATGATCAACAAGTTCATAGAAATAGTCACTTCAATGGTAGTAAAATTTAAAAGGAAGATTGCATATAAGAATATAGTACAGGAAGAAAGAATTAGTTCATAGAAAGAAAGATACAAAGTAATTTTAATGTCACAGTTTAATGGAAGACAGAGAGTGTAAACACCTACGCCTTTGTGATCGATTCTGACCCATGTCACCAAGACTCTCCAACCATTGGTTACGATAATTACGCGGACCGCAACCAAGTGGTCTATATCTACCAACATGGCTCAGACCAGAAGCTAGTGACTTCGTAGACTGATGCCACGTTTTGGTTTAGTCCCTCCTAATTTTCTTCCAACTGTCTCCAACGCTAATCAGCATTGTGCACCGTGGTAATCAATGTTCAGGTATGCACATTATTTAAATCGTTCAAAGTTCACTGATGAAGAATTAGTTCATTTTGCTAGATTATTAGACATAGATTCAGTGTTATTATACTGTAGTGAACAGAACACGGGTGGAGATAATCGAATATATTTAACACAAAATTACAGGACTTATTAATAAAATCTAACAATCATAAAGTAAATGCTTAACTTGCAAAATGTCCACCTATTGTCTCAAAATGACTCAGACTTCATTGTTCTTGCATTTTCATATAAACTGCATCCTATTTCCATTCTTTATTGTTCGATCCTATTGTCTCTTTGCTGCCAGACCTTCTGTTCACGACTAACATCATATACTACTTATGCCAAATATAAGTAGCACACCATAATACTAGTCATATACAACCATCATGTATAGATATCCAACTATATGCTCATTTAAGCATTCATTCACTTCCTCAAATATTTAAACAGGGACACCGAATAAAGTAATTTAAACTGATCTTTTTCTCCAAATATCACATAGTTACAATAATAGTGGGAAAACTGAAAATCATTTCAATGTCTGTTATTTTCCTGAAGAGAATTCTATTCAATATCTACTTTATACATTACAACTATTTTTTTTTCTTCTTACATAATAATATCTTTGATTGTATTGTATTTCATTTGCTATTTACAACCATTCAAGCGTATTATTATTATTATTATTTGTCTAAATTAACAATAGTCTCTTATCTATTCTGACTTTAAAAAATAAAGTCAGTCTATATGAACATTTTACCTAATTTAAACCAATATTTATTCAACACATTATTGTAATCAAATTTAAAATATTTCGAAATTTATAGTTGAATTCATGAGTCAATTCAAGGTAGACCATCATTGAAAATCTGGAAGTATTGGACGGCTATTTTGTCTTAGTATTGAACTCATCAACAATGCATGTCCACCAACCTGCATATACCAGTTGAAACCAGAACATTAAGTCTCACGCGTAAATGCCTAACCTCTAGATCACTGAGCAGTCATCTAACGTTGTTGATGTCTAGTTTCAATCAATCCACGATATGGCGCCACCGTCCACTAATGTCTTCAGTGAGTTTTTATCTCACAACAGACCTGGTTAAACATCAATGGCCACAAAAGTCAATGGTCGAGA